AGTGGAAAGAACCACTCTAAAGAGGGTGCAGCAGAAGTGCCATCTCAGTTCTAAAAAAAGGTACCACAATGATGCAGCACTTTTCTGGATTTTCTTTATGTCATACAGTATATAGGTGCCCAATACTACTATTGCATCATGCTTCGCTATAGTGCTACAGGATGTGTTGATTTTGTGTGATTTTTTTCTGCATCAGCCAATCAGGGACATTACTTATTTTATTAAACATTTTGTATGAATATAACATACAAATTGGATAATTTTGAGCTTCATAAATACAGATGTTAAGGTGGAAGTGTACATAATGAAGTGGCTGGTGAGTGTATATGCTGCCAATAAATAGCCATATGCTTACATTCTAAAGTCTGACATTGTCAAAGCTTTCACCTTCTTCCACCTAATTGGATTTAATCTGTTATCTGTTAAATGAAAGCTTTACAGCCCTAAATAACGTCACAACAGATGTACTGTCTGAATACAGTGTGAAACAGTTTACCCTGCTCTACCCAGCGCAGGTAGTGACTGACACATTTTTGCCTCGGGGCTTAGCATAGCTATACTCTATGCACATTCATTACTATAAATTTGTATACACAGCTCTAGTCTAGCTGAAATCAAGGGTACAGTACATCTCAATTCCCTAAATTGCACCTTTCTTTGCATATTCTGGGTTCCTCCCAGTAAAGACATGAGAAGAGAGGAAACAGTAAAATATGATTTTTGAACCACATTTGGTCAGTTCTGTGGGCATCCTAAATGGCTGTAATTTTTTGTAGAAAATAAGCTGTTTTGTATTTTTGCTAATTTAAATGAATGTCTTCAACTTTATTTTAGTTTTTTAAATACATTTTAATACCTTGATTATTGCCTATGATTTGCAACATGACAGTGAGCATTTTTTAAAAGTAAAAAAAAAAAGATGTAATATCCTCCAATAATGGTCTAGGGTTTCCAAGTATTTCAGTGAGTGGCCTATAAAGGGTTAAAGAACTGAGACGCTGGCTCCCTTGCTTCTCATGACGCAGCTCAGCTGGATCCAGTGCCAGTCAGATTTATTCCATAAACTGTTTGACAAATTATCATTTTTATCTATCATATTTATTAAAAATCTGCACTATCCTGTGCTCAGTGTACTTTTCTGCTCAGAGGCTACAGTATATGCACAAAAACAATTTCTAATGGCAGAAGTGAATTTCTGTTTGAAAATCCAATAATCCAGTTAGGATTAGAATGTTTTATTCATTTTTGTAGAAATGATTTATTAACTCTGTTTTAGGCAGAGTGTTGTGTAAATACATCCTGCCAAACTTTATTTCTATGTCAAATCAAGTCAAATTTATTTATACAGCACCTTTGAAAATAAAATGGAAATTAAAATAGCAACACATGGCGACTTGTGCTTGTTAGCCTTATATCTTATGGATGTTACTCCTGATTGCTGCAGTTTGATTAAGTTACATAACATTTAGTGCCTGTTGGGTTTTAATAATTGTTTTGCATTTTGATTGAAATACTTTGATGCTGTATACGGGCTCCTGTAAAAATAGTGCACCCATAGTATCAGTCCAATTATCAAAATAAGGTAAGGAAGCACATTTATTTCTTGAGTTATCGGCTTAATGTCACTGACACCTTCATATTTTGGGAGGTTGATGATGCATATTGTTTAATTTCGCTTTAATGTTAGTGTGCCTTGCACTCTTGTGATCTGCACTTTACATTTTGAGATGTCTACCTGGTATATAACACGAACATCTTGGCAGTAATCTACAGCACTATAGTTACATTACACCAGTTAGCCATAACATTCTGACCACTGACAGGTGAAGTGAATACCGCTGATTGTCTCGTTACAATGGCACCTGTCAGTGTTTGGGGTATGTTAGGCGGCAAGTGAACATTCAGTTTTTGAAGTTGAATGAAAAATGGGCAAGTGTAAGGATCTGAGTGACTTCGACAAGGACCAAACCTTGATGTCTAGACAACTGGGTCAGAGCATCTCCCACACTGCAGGTCTTGTTGGGTGTTCCCGGTCTGCAGTGGTTAGTACCAACCAACAGTGTCTAAGGAAGGACAACAGGGTCATGGATGCCCAAGGCTGATGATGAGGCTGACCTACTGTAGATTAAAATTTTACATTTCATTCCTTTTCAGAAGATTCCATTTTGTTTGAATCTTTATCAAAATGGTTGAAAATGAGAAAAACTGTACATTGGTGTCTATAAAGAGAAACATTCAGCGGCTGTAGTGGTGATATCACACCTAGAGTGGGTAGGCTGTTGAATTTGTCAAAAAAATTAACTTGTCCTCACGACCACAGTTTTCATTTCTTTTGCATCAGTTTTTCACTGAATGTTCAACACATTTGTGCTCTTACTGACAGTAGAACAGTGGAAGCAAACAATTTCACCGAAGCTGCACAGCGAGCTGCCAAGTGACATGAATGCCAACGAACTGCTGTGTTGACTCCTGTGTACACAGTATTAGGCAGGTGATCATAATGTTGTGGCTGATTGGTGTCTACAGTATAACAAAGCCTATGAGCTACAGGGGTCCAAGTGATATTTAGGAACAACATGGACTTTCTGCTAAACTAAACAACTTTGTAGCCAAATGCAGTCAGTTGGATAAAAAAAAAACCATTAGAATAGTGATCTGCTTACCAATGCAATGGGCAGTGCTTCCAGCAGTAGGGGAGAAAAATAATAAGAGAAATGATTAAAATCTGAGTGCTTCATTGCAACATGTCTCCAAACAACTGAAGCAGCAAAGTGGATGAAACTGTTTGGGCACTGTTGCCAAAAATGTTGCAGCGTTGTGATTTCAGGACCATAAACCAATATACAGACAATACAACCGAGGAGTGTTTGAAGGCCAAGCAGAAGACTGTACCTCTCTTGCCAGTTCAGTCACTTTACAGAAAGCCAACATTAAGTGAAGCTGGCTGCAGTACAGGCCTGGCAACGCATCACTAGGGAAGATAGCAAGTGTATGCTGATATCACTTGGCTTCAGACTTCAGTCAATCGCTTATTTATTTGAATCTTTATTCATTCAGGGGAGTTCCAGTCAGAGCCAAGCTTTCTTTTTCAGGTATTCCATGATCACACACATAGTTGCACATTCACATCTGGAAGCTGCCCAGTACACTGTCTGATCTGTTGGCCACTGAGCAGCTCCACTGGGCCATGCTCAGTGATAGTAATGAGGGAAGGGCAAGTGCTGCTCTTTCACTTTCCTCACCCAGATCTATCCTGCTATTCTGTGGAGCAAACTAAATAGCACATACAGTATTTTTGTTTTGGACAGCATGGTGGTGAAGTGGTTAGTGCTGTTGCCTTATAGCAAAAAGGTTCGAGCCCTGGCTGGACCCGAGGCCTTTCTGTGCAGAGTTTGCATGTTCGCCCTGTGCCTGAGTGGGTTCTCTCCGGGTAATCGGGCTTTCTCCCAAAGACATGCAGCTTAGGTTGATTGGTGACTCTAAATTGCCTGTGTGAGTGTGTGTGGTTGTTTGTCTACGTGTCAGACTGGTGACCTGTCCAGGCTGTACCCTGCCTCTTGCCCAATGTCAGCTGGGATTGGCTCCAGCCCCTCCACAACCCTCGTTAGGATTAGCAGTATTGATAATGGATGGATATCGAACTTGCTGCAGTTCCTAAATCATTTATCTGATGTGATAGTCAATGTTTTAAATCCAAAGTTTTGGAGTATAAAAATGTGTCACTGTCCAAATTTATTGCATAGTGATGTCTGTTCATATTATCAAGGCTTGTAGTGAGAGGTGGTCTAACCCTTGGACAAACACTGTTAGCGAACAACTGCTACAGTGTCAACATTCACTGACCCTATAGGCTGATTACTTTACTTAAGCACCTAAACAAGCCTTGGTCTTACCTAACACAAGCTAAGTCTAACCATAGCCACAGTTTATCTACACGGTAGTCCACTGCAAATACCTTTCAAGTTCCTTTCATTCAATTTGTGCTGGGGTAGTCTGTGTGAAATTAGCATCTGCTTTACTACAGCAACAGCTTGTTAAGTAGTTAGTGACAAGGACAACCTTTTAGATTAATTCTGTGAGTGAAAGAGTACTCAAAGGGTGTAGATCTAAGATCGGATTTGTGGGAGATCAGTAAGGTCACAAGATAATGAGATACCAAAGCCTTCACTGAGGGTGCAGCTCAGCATGCATTACAGTTGTATTCTTACTCTACTGAACGGTTTGTAGTCATTAAATCAATACCTATGGAAACAGGGTACATTTATAAATGAACAGAATAGCTGGTGGACCATGCGCAGCTATACTGATACATTCTGTTATAAAAGCACTTTAGCAGATGGGAGATATTCTATGTCACACTTTCAGTATCGAGCCATCTCTTAAATGATACAGCTGAGAGCTCCTTAGAATCTCAGGTAACTACAGCCACATGTTCGTTTGTAATTTATTAAAGAAGTGCAATTACCAAAATGTATTAGTGTCTCAGTGAGTTCAGACTGAATGACCACAGGCCCATAACTCAGAGCAGTCTCTTTCTTTGTGTTAAATTTTGTCCAGTTACTGCTTTTTCTTTTTTTCTCTGAAGCAGATTTTTATTTTGCAAGAAATTTAGTGCAGCTCCCCTGCACACCTTTCAATTATCTGTTTACCCTTTGTCTGCTGAGATCTCTATATAATACACTGTAGGTTAGTTCAGTTCTCTCTTCCTATCTCGTCGTTCTTTCTTCATCTGTGTAAAATCTGCACCTTCTCTGGCAAAGTGCCCTTTCACACTGGTGAGTCTATTTGATAATAATATGTATGTCTTTAGGCACAGAATGTGTCTGAAATCTGAAGTGAGGTGCAAAAGCCTCTATGAATCTGGCCCTCTGTACAAAACACGTAAGCAGTATCTAAACATGGTTTATAGCTTTGCTCTTGCACTGATGGTGTAAACTATGTGGATTTTATTTAAGAACTTTTAAATAAAAACAGTTCTCTCTCTCTCTGTCTTTTTATAGCTCCATGCGGAGGACAGTATGGTGGCTCTGAAGGAGTTGTTTTGTCTCCAAACTATCCTCTGAACTACACTACAAGACAGACTTGCTCCTATTACATCGCTGTGTCCCCACAGTTTGGTGAGTCCATAAAAGGTCACATCATACAATCTTGACTTTAAATACTTGCACCCTTGTATTTTTTGTAAGGCATGGCATTTCTTTGAGAAAGATGTGGACATAAAATGACTGGAGTTTACCAAAATACACCTGAACAAGGCAAATTGCTTCTTGGGTGAATGTCTTCTATGTTAACACATAAAAAGAAGCCTTCAGAGAAAAGGACACCGACTCACAAGTTGAACATGGAGGAGGTTCACTGATGTTTTCGGATGGCTTTGCTGCCTTTGGTACTGGGTGCCTTGAATCAGTGGATTACCAGGGTCTTTTGGAACACAGTGTTGCATCCAGTGTCACCAAGCTGTGTCTTCGTCAAAGGTCATGTGTCACATCAACACATCTAAATGCACCCAGGGATCTTTTAAAAGAAAATGGTGCAATGTTCTGAAGTGTCCAGTAATGAGTCCACATCTAAATCCTGTTGAGCTCCTGCAAAAAGATCACAGCAAAAACAGTGATTGGAAGAAGGCGTCCTTCAGATCTGAGAGAACCAGGGCAAAAGCGGAGTGGGTCAAACTGCCACTGGAGTGGTGTCTATTGGAAAATATATAGGAAGTGCCTGACAGCAGTTATCCTCTCCAGAGGTTGTGCTACCAAATAGTAAGTCCAGGGTGTGAATAATTTAGTCAATGCCATTTTGGTTTATTTTTTGTTTTAAAACCAAGCCAAGTTCTAAATTAAAAACTAAGTTTCTGCACTTTAACAGTGAACTAAAGAGCTGCAGACACCAGGTACTTTAGTAAGTTTTAATTTATCTCAGAGATTTTTGTGACTTTTTATGCCGCCATGCTGGCGATGTTTTCGGGTTGTCCGTCCATATTTCTGTAAGGCTTTGAGGGACTTTCTTCAAGTTTGGCACCATCGTCCACTTGAACTCAATTATGAACTGATTAGATCTGGTGGTTAAATATGGAGATAAAATACTATCAAAAATGTTACAAATGCGTGTTTAAAGTTTTGTCTGTAACAAGCGATTTGCAATCTGCACGTATAAAGCCGTGTGTGTGTGTGTGTCATGCTGTTCACAAATGCGTGCTGTACAAACTGCACATAAAACACGTTTTACAAATGCTTAAAATCGATTGTTCGTGTGCAGTTCTTTAGAAAGTACGTACACATTGTTACCTTCGCATGCGTGGATCGTCTAACACACACGAATCACCTTCCGCGCACACACGGATTTTTGAGAGGTTTTTTCCGAACTCTCAAAAATCCACGATCCACGAATGCACGGTGCGTTTAATGATACGTGGAAAACTCGGACATCTGAGTTTCCAAACCTGTTTCCCAAACAAAAGTATTTACACAACGCTATTCAAAATGGACATTACCTAAAATAAACAAAAATATCTAATACATAACACGTTTTAACAGAGAAGATTCCAGTTGCCTGCAAAATCGATTTTAAGCATTTGTAAAACGTGTTTTATGTGCAGTTTGTACAGCATGCATTTGTGATCCTCATGACACACACACACAAATCGCTTGTTACAGACAAAACGTTAAACACGCATTTGTATCATTTTTTGATAGTATTTTATCTCCATAGTTAAAGGTCACTGTCACCTCATGTCTGACCCATTCTTCAGAATGTGATAGCTCAGGAAAGCCTTAAGGGAATTTTTCAAATTTGGCAAAAGTGTCAACTTCAGCTCAAGGATGAACTGATTATAGTTTGGTGGTCAAAGTTCAAGGTAAGTGAACTCACATATGTGCCATTGCCGTCAATGTGACTGGCTGGCAGAGATGTACAAACTGTGAAGTGGTAATTGTAGATTTATTGAGTGAGTGTGCCAATAATATCAGCCACAGCTGTACATGACTAACGTAACTAAAGTACCAACAAATAAACAAAGTAACACTAAGGCTTTATTTCTCTTACAGTGTTTCTCTTTTCTATTCTGTTTATTTTTTCTTTAGTGGTGTTTGGTCAGTTTGCCGTTTTCCAGACAGCAATGAACGACTCGGTGGAGCTGTTCGATGGAGCCAATGAGAACACTCGTTTGCTTAGCTCCCTGGCTGGCTCACATTCAGGTGAGTTTCCAAGTAGCTGATTCAAGTGTCAGATAAACTGAAGGAAGAATATCAGGCCCTAATGCCATAAATAAAGCACTAATTTTTTTTTCACTTATTATGACTTAGCATGACATTATATTTTTGAAAATCGCCTGATCCTGAGCACATTGTTGAAAAAAGAAAATAATGAAATCGCTTGTAAGAAAGCAGCTTTCAGGGGGCTGTAGAACACAGCACTAGAGGTCGTTATCACGATTTATTTGACAGTGATGTATTTGGTGAAAATGCATTATGGGTTATCTTTACAAGAAGAAATCAGCAGTGGAAAGCGTCTCACTGGGGCCATACAGTATACAGTAGCACTGATACTCCTTAACACAATCCTCCCTGGGCTTCCTTATCCTCCAGCTTGGCAACATTTCGAGTCACTACACAGTTACACACTCAGCATGGATGGACATTAAAAGATGAGGCAAAATCGATGTAGAAGAATGAAACATAACTAAATATTGATTAGCGTACTATAGCTGTTGGCAAAACGTGTTCTTGTTGCCTTCAACTTTTGTGTTCTTCTGTTGTATGTCATGGCCAGGGGGCATGCTGCAGGGAAAACCCACTGGAGTTGACATTTAGTTTCTTTCTTTAGATATCGTGGCTTTTAAAATATTTTCTCTGTTATGTTTATTCTGTTGGAGGAAGATGAAGCATTTAATAAAGGACAAGACTGCGACTGCCAATAAAATTATCTCTGCAGTTCTAGAGTTGTGCAATTTGGCAATTGTTTTCTTTCCATCCATTTTCCATCTAAGTTAGTTCAAAGGAAAGAGGCCAGTTTATATAATCTATAATGGTTGGCTTATTCTTTAAAATTAATTTGGGTTTGAAATTCCCCTTTTGGCTAAAACTGCCAGCAAAGAATGAAACACGCACACATGGGCAAACAACTTTGTAACACATTGTTCTAGCTAACTGACTGATTATCCTGACACACATATTAACACACATACCAGACTTACACATGGACACACACATCCTGATGCAGCTAATGATGGTTCTAAATGTCAGCCACACCAGGCCATGTTTTTCTTATTTATCACTGTTACTGTTTTTGCCTGGGTATGTGTGTGCATCTACATTTTTGCGTGTATGTGCTTATGAGCTGGGATGTGTTTGTTTTTGCATTCTTATTCTGGTGAGGACTATGTTTTACCACAAGGCAAAAACCTGCTAAGTATGAGGTTATGAATGTACAAGCTGTGTATGTTCATATGGATCTGCATGTTTGTTGTGTTATGTGTCTCAATAAACTACTATTTTGTAAAAAAAAAAAAAAAAATTGATGTGTGCTTTCAGGAGAGAAAATTAAGCTTTTTTTTAGCATTAAGATTCGTTTTAAAAACATTACCTATGTGCTTGTGTGTCTAATTTGGTTATCCTAGGAGAGACATTGCCATTGGCAACTTCCAATCAGATCATGCTACGGTTCAATGCTAAGAGCGGCCAGTCAGCTAGAGGCTTTCACTTTGTCTACCAAGGTAACTCCATTGATCTCCCTCTTCCTTCCATATATAAGTGCTTAAACACAAAAGGTTGCATTCAGTTCAAGCTCGGCACTGAAGTCTCTCTGCTGAACGTGTTCTGACTGTCCTATATCTTTTTTTGTATTATTTACTTACTGTCATTATTGCAGCTGTACCTCGTACCAGTGACAGTCAGTGCAGTTCAGTGCCGGAGCCTCGTTATGGCCGGCGGATCGGCTCAGAGTTCTCAGCTGGCTCCGTGGTTCGATTTGAATGCAGTCCAGGGTATCTACTAAAAGGATCCAGTGCTATCCGCTGCCAAGCTGTGCCAGGTGCCCTCGCACAGTGGAATGCAACAACACCAACTTGTATAGGTATGGCTGACTGATACCCTGGAAAGTGTAGAGAATGTAACTAGCAAACATACCATATGCAGCCCCAAAGAAGCAATCAGTCCTTTGGATATATGTGAGTCTTTCAGTACTGCAAGAGTTGGGATTTTGATATTAATTGTAACAAACTAAATGTATTCCTGCATAAAATCTCTCTCTGCTGAGAGCAAACAGGTTCAGCTGCTACCTAAGTGTATACAATAAATATTGTTTAGCATGTTTTTTCTATCCAGCTCCCTGTAGTGGTAATTGTCCATGTGTATATAAAGATGCATTCCATCAACCTGTCCTATCTGCTAGCTATTTGGCTAATAAACTTTGCCAAGAAATCCGTATTTTATATCTTGATTCTAGTTCCCTGCAGTGGCAATTTGACTGAACGTCGTGGTACAATACTGTCTCCTGGCTATCCTGAACCCTACCCTAACAGTCTCAATTGTATTTGGAGGATCCATGTCAGTGAAGGGGCTGGGATACAGGTATATGTATACAGTATATATAAATACATGTTTAATGCACTATATTTACACCAACATCTATAGAGAATGCACATGACCTCAGGCTATTCTGTTAATTTATTTTCATTGTTTGGCATTTAGATCCAAGTGATGACGTTTGCGACTGAGCACAACTGGGACTCTCTGGAGATCTACGATGGAGGAGACATGACAGCTCCTAAATTAGGGTCATTTTCTGGTATGACAATGTGCACACACACACAAGTAACACACAAAGTTGTGCACAGACACCCATGCACACAAATACTCTGGAGATCTGTGATGGATGAGATATGACAGCTCCTAAACTATAGATACACACACAAGAATTATGATGAATTATATATGACAGGTCTTAAACTATAGATACACACACAACATACACTAGAGATCATGATTGATGAGTTGTAATACTAAAACTATGTAATAAATGTTTTTAAGACAAAGGATTCTTCCGATTTCCAGGCAGCCAGCAGAGAAAAGGAGACAAGAGAGGGAAGGGAAGGAGGGGAAAAGTTTCACCATGAGGTTGAGTGAAGGATGGGATAAAAAGAGAGAAAGAAGGCAGGGAGGGATAAAGAATGATCTAACCTTTTACAATTTCCCAGTGGAGTGTCCCCTTGACCTGCCCCAAGCACATACCTGTCAGACACCTATCACACATAAAGCATGACACCGATAGGCCAACACACACACAAGCAAATGACTATGCCCTTCTCAAGAAGGCACACCGGGGAGCTGCCCACTATAACCACAGTAATCTGAGCAGCTTCACTGGGGCAGATGAGAGTTGCTTCACATAAGGACACTAAAGTGCTGGCTGTCCATGGAGGGTTGGGGGTTGGTCACCTTCTCTGCACATAATTTTCAAGCTGGCCTCGGCATTTAAACAGGATTTATGTCAAAAGTCTGCTTGCTGAAAAAGCCCTCTCCATGTGTTTTTGTGTCGTGTCTATTTTATATAAATTCATTTATATTTTTAACACCATTATATTTACCTGCAAAATGATAATGTCATAAAAGGTTTGTACACTGTAAACTGGACAAGACAAACTTATCACCTGGTATCTCATCTTTACAGGAACTACAGCTCCCGCCCTGCTCAACTCAACATCCAATCAGCTCCTTCTGCACTTTCAGAGTGACATAAGCGTGGTGGCAGCGGGCTTTCACCTAGAATACAAGAGTGAGTTTTTAAGATTAGATAGATAGATAGATTGGTGAGTTGTTTTAAAAAGAATATACTTGCTGAAGTAAAACAACCAAGGAGTGAATACTGGGTCCTGTTTCACCAGAAACCACAAATGCACGCAGCCACTCACAGACACACACACACACACAGTCAAGCCTATACTGTACACACATATACACACACCATTGCAGACAAAACTTTAACATCAAATAACAGGAGTTAGTGACCTGAACTGGTATTGCCTGAAAGCATACATACAAACAGAGACCCACATTGGAGCACACACACAGAAGCACATGTAGAGGGACAAAAACAGAAAGCACAAAAACACATGCACGCACAAAGTGATTGTGTCATACGTGCACATGTTGAAGCGAACGAAAGGAAAATAAGACAAATCTGCAGTAGACAGACAAAGGTATGGGACATGGATGTTAACACCATGCATTTAACCACACCTGTCAGGGCATAGTTGTGCTTTTCAGTCCTTTGTAGTTGTTTTATCTTAGGATCATTTCTACATCAATGAACATGTCCTCTTTTGTAACGATGTGGGAGACAGTGTGTGCATGCATTTCTACATATTTGTGTGTGTGAGTGTGCATTTATGGCTCAACGGTCTGTGTTCTTGTTGGCTCTTTGTGTTGACATGCCACTGATGGGGACAGCATATTGTGTCTGTGACTTTACTCTCATCTTTTCAGTGTGCCTTTTATTAACGGATGCACCTGATTCAGACCCAAATCTGACTGTAATGTTAAGTCCATATGTGACACCTTAATTAGAATTGGATCCCTTACATACAGTATCATAAATAATCCTTAGGTAAAACTGGCACTCAGTGTGGGACAAGCCACTTGTTCTGTTTTTATGTCTTGGCATTTATTTTGCTCAGGCTCGCAACACATTTATATTAAGTGGAGAGCAGCGCAGATGGTAGTCTCTCTATGTTTTTCTGGGTTTTCTTCTCTGTCAAATCTCCTAGTTTCCATGGAGAGAGGATTTTGGATGGAGCTGTGAGTCTAATCAGGCCAGGTAGGGTGCCATTGTAAAACTGTGGGATGCAGGTCTGTGTGTAATAGCTGAATGGCTCTGTACAGACTTGGCATCAGCTTTGTTCACAAGGTTCATCAAAATCATCGAAAGACAAAATTTGAGACTGTAAAATACAAGAAAAATGATGTGGTACTCTTTTTTTTTTATCATGGCTGTATGTTAGTTGAAGGTGCATCTTGCTGAGGCTGGTGTTGGTGTTCTCTCTCCAGGCAGGTCTTTCCTGATCAATTGTATTTTGTGCTGGGTCCTAGAATCTGTCTGAGCAGGGGTTTTCAATCACTTATGGGGCCACAATTCTGAATAAGATAATCTGTTGTGGGGTGGATAGACTGTATTTCCACTGTTTTAATCTTCAAAGTCACCATGGCTTTTCCAAATGTTTTATATTTGCATGAATTTGTTTATTCATAAATGTGTTTAAAAACAATTTAAAAAAGATCATTCCTATGAAACTACACTGTTAAATAAATGATCAGGAACCACCTGCAATGTCTTCACAGACCACTGGTTGAAAACCCCTGTGTTAGATCAGGCTGTATATTTCTGTCCGAACCCAACTCGAAACTGATGCAGCTGAGTTTATATCATTAAAAGAAACAGACATTTGAGTGCTCCAGCCATCAAGCCTAAAGTTTAACTTACAGCTCCGAACCCAGCCTGGACCCGAACATAATTTCTACATTTCTGTCTGAACCTGGCTTGAACCCTCATGTGCCAGTGGGTCCCGCCGGGCTTGGTTCAGGTATCCACGCTCGAGAGTCTGATAGGGGACAAATCTAGTTCTCCCAAAGTCCCTCTCAGATTTCACATGTCAGAATTTCAAAACTAATTTATGCACATGGATTTCTGGGTAGGTTTTCTACACATCCATTTTGGACTGCATCCAAAATTCTGTATTTATGACAACCTCAAGCTGGTCTTGCCGAGACTGTCCTTAGACGTCTTTCTACAGCAGCAGTATCTGATTACCAGTTTGGATTGAACATTTAAGATGGAACCAAGTGGATATGTCAGTTTATCTGATGACAAAGTGGGTTGATAAATCATGCATAACTCCGGCTTTTTGTTTATGTGTGTGTGTACATGCATTTGTATGCATATCTAATACTGCATGTGTATATATGCTGGAGTACCTGTTCCAATCCTTCTGTATAGTGTAGTGTCGCTGTCTTGATGGTGAGCTTTTTTCATGTTTTCACACAGAGAAAACAGATTTTAAATGTGAGCTGGGAGGGCAGAGAGGTATTATAAGATGAGTAAAAAGCAGATAAGTGAAGAACAAGAAACATACAGATCTTCCACAGTAAATGGTCTGTGCCCTAAAGAACAAGTCTTTTCTGCTGGTGTTCCTGCCAAAATCAACACATGCCGTTTCATAGCCAGTTGTTTTCATGAAAACCAAATTTGAGCAGCACAGCATGCTGAGCAAGTATTTCCAAGTTCAGTTTCAAACAGTTTATCATGCATTACATCCCTACAAGAGTCTGTGCAGGTTGTAATTATCTCAAAATTAGTGCCAACACTTTAATCTGTAGCGAGTTTGCCGAGAGGTTCTTTACAGGAGGTCTCGCCAAAAAGTATTCTTTCAACTTTTTTCATTAAACACCCAAATTTTGCAGACAACTAACCTGTTCAGTAGTTGATAAGAACAGGGAGTCCGGAATTAGTACTGTATGTGCTCTTGTTTGATTGTTCATTCTAATTCTTCGTTTGAACAAGTACAGCTAGTATTACACATTTTTGTATGTTTCACCAGCTGCCAGGTTTATTTTAGTTTAATCACTTTTATTGTCCAAGTATGTTATACACACAAGGAATTTGTCTCCGGTACTGAACTGAGGCAGCCATCTGTGGGGGCAACTTTCTCAGACACATACACACCCATGGTGGCGCTGTCCCCGCAAGGGAATACTCTGGCCATCGAGGGCAACTGAGGTTCAATGTCTTGTCCAAGGACACTTGTGGCCAGGAATTGAATTGCCAACCTTCTGACCAACCACTCTACCTCCTGAGCCACATCTGCCCCACATTGCACACATGATTACCTAGTGTTTAGCTTTGTGCTGCTAAAAGTTCTCATGGTCAGTTCTGCAGTAACATGGTAGCTTGTGTAATTGGAAAAAACCATCTGCTTGGGACATGTGGATCATTCTGGTGATGATGTTGTCATCATTTTAAGTTGATTAAAGTACCTTTCTTCTAAATGGCAATATGAGGCATGTCCCTCCCTTGTCTGTCCTCATATAAACTGAAACAGAACTATAGTAAATCCAGTCAGCTAGAATCAAATGCTGACACCGTCTAGTGGGCCTAGTAGGGTGGTTTGTGGTACTGTCAGCATTTTACAGGATGTCACTGCTCTCTCATAACCAGGGAAAAGAGGAAGCAGTTTGCTAAGAGAGAGAGAGAGAGACGGTCAGCCAAATGGAATAGTTTCATTGATCAGTTGTCACGACAGCCTGCAGATGCTCTGCCTACTAATACTCTGTGTGTGCATGAGTGTGTCTCCAAGTTACAGTCTCATACAGCTTTCTCACTTATGCTTCATCTATAAAAAGTCTCTTTTGTCTCTCTGCTAGTGCAAACTCAAGTACAGTAACACTCCCTCATGCACACACACTCACGAATATCATACACTTGGTGTGGGCCACTTGGGTGTGTGTGTGCGTATGAGAGAGAGAGAGAGAGCTCTGTGGGATCACATCATTTTGCTGGTAGGAAGGCAGATAATAAACCAACAAGAGCAGACTCACAAGCAAACACACGTAGCATCCACTCCTCTCCCTTCCCTGCGTTCATCCCTCTTCCACCCTTTTGTTGCCATGGCAACCACTCTAGGGCAGTCTCCTGCAGAAGTTTCTAAGCGAAGCACACAAACACACACACACATGAACATGGACCCCTACTGATGCTATTTGATAAAGGCCTGGCTGCTGTCAAACTTATTAAGCAAGTGTTTAACCTTGATTGTGTTGGGAATACATAACCATAGTCATTATGTTGGCTTCACATATTTCTAAGCACATTTCACAGATTGCTGTCAATGCTGATGATGTACAGGATTTTTTATTGCACAAGCTGTCGATGCATAAATGAGCTCTTGTCTATAAGAAAAGACAACAAAATTGGTGAATTAATTTGCCTCATTATTATTTAATCAAAACTAAACTAATCTAAAGTGCTGTGATTGCATTTTATATAGGGTTGTAGCCAAGAGAAAGGTCACATACTGTGCAACTGAAGGTGAAGGCAAGAAAAGAAGTAGGAGGTTTTTTGGAGAAGTGAAGGCAAAGTAGAGAACACAAAAGTGAAATGATTTTGTTGTTGTTGATATGTAGAATTAAATGACTTTAGCTGGCCCTAGGTTTGTTAGTAAAGGTCATGACAGCATCATTAGTCATCTATAACATAAAGAAGTGATCATCAGGTACCTTCTGTTATATTTTTCTGTTCTTGTGCTCAAGTCATTTGTCCAGAGCACATGACTAGAGCCAGAAGCTCATGAACAGTGTTTGCATAAAAAAAAAGCAATGGCATTGTTGATCATATTCTTTTACTTTCTTGTGTTTGCAGCGGTTGGTCTTACCACCTGTCCAGAGCCAATGATCCCTGCCAATGGCATTAAAACTGGAGACAGATATATGGTCAATGAGGTGGTGGCGTTCACCTGCGAACCAGGATATACGTTACAGGTAATGACCACAGACACAAAACTGACTCATAAATACATGTATTAATATGTACGCACATATTTTGATCACATACTCTAATAAACAAATATTGTTTATCAGTTTGTAAACTAAAAGTTAAAATTGAACTAAAATTGCCTTAGAATATTTTTTTCTTAACCCTGAACAACTTTATTATCACTTTCAGGGCCACTCTCACATTTCCTGCATGCCTGGAACTGTGCGTCGATGGAACTACCCACCTCCTCTTTGCATAGGTAACTTGCACGTGCGCACACACACTGCACTGTTGACTTAATTCTATTCTAATGAATAATTAATAATAAAGTGCCCTGCAGGTGTGAAGTTCACAGTTAAGCTTTTAGGCACAGCAATGTGACCAAAGATGTTTAAACACAAAAGAGTAAAAGGTTCATAGTCATATGTTCTTAACAAATTGAAAACTTACAACAGTACTTGTTGAAGGTCTTTTACTTTTTTTTTTATTTTGAGGTTAATAGCCAAATAATTTTATTTAAGTCTTTGGTTACGTGCAGTGTGTGGAATTCTCCCCCTGCACATTATAGTCTATTTAAAACTGCTTATTTTCTTACAAGATAAATGTCATTAAAAATTGGTATATATTTTTTTTAATACAGTATAAAATTTACATTCACGTCAATAAAACACAATTTCTCCTATTTAAAAGCAACTGCCTTATGTGTTGCTGAAACAGTGCTATGATCGAATCTGGCAGCTGAATTCTTCCACTCACAGTATTTACAGAAATAATGGAAAATTAATTGATCAGCTGAGTGAAAAAGTATAGTCCTTAAGTGTGAGTTCATTAGTTTATGTAATGCTATCACCTTGATTCAGATTTTTGGAGGCAAGCAACTGCTTGACTGACATAGGTCTATTAGATCACTATGCCTGCTGGGTACAAACAGAATGTTGTGCCTTGTACTGAGAGCCAAGACTTCCAAACATCTGAAGTAGTGTTAAGGAACCTTGATTACATTGATGTTTGTGGTTAAGTCGGAATAATTCAATCCTTGGTGAAAACATGTAGCAGGTCTGGAAAGCCAGTTCCAGTTAAGCTCAACCTTGGCAGGACCAACTATATACACCATCCTGACCCAGCCCCCTCACTATGTGTCAGATTCAACATTTTCTTTTTCAGACACACAATCAGATAATGCCCAGATCAGTCAACAGGAGCAAGTGCCAGCCTGGGGGCCATGAAATTCTGTCACCAGTGGTTCTATAGGATTTATAGGAATTCAGCTTCTTAAAAGTCTAGATCTAAAATCTTAAATATGAAAAATATTCAGTCTCCAAACAACTGGTTTTTGTACAAGTGAATTTAATTTTGTTTTCAAATGTTTGATTTATTTTATTACTGGTAACAATAGCCCGAGAATCTCAGACAAACAACAAAAGTGTTAAACAATTTTTTTTATATTAGCAGTGGCCAGTCACATCAAGTCCTAAACCCTAAACATCGGTGCCTTTATTTTAATAATAATGTCACAGTTGGAACATATTTGAATAATACATATTTATTGATACAGCAAAGGTGCTCAAACCCCTTTTGTCACCACTTTGGGCTGTATTTTCTACCTTCTGTCTATGTAGACAAAGAGGGTGATGTGATGATCTATGCCTGTTTTAACAGTGTGTTTGCTGTGCTTTTGTTGTCAGCTCGTTGTGGCGGGTTGTTGTCTGAGATGAGTGGTGTCATCCTCAGTCCAGGTTTCCCTGGCAACTACCCCGGCAATCTGGACTGCACCTGGCAAATCACCCTGCCAACTGGATA